TGGACACTTCCAAAATGGGAACTCTAATAGCATTTATTAGTGACACTAGAAAACACTTTGCCAGACAAACATAGGAAGCAAAGCCAAATGCCAGAAGAGGATCTTGGAGTGACATCTCCAAATGTCAGCTCTATATTGCCCCGGTTGATAGTCATTTTTAAAATTAAGAAAGTTTTTTTGTTATGAGTTGTTATGGTAAAAGAGGGCATTGTATTGTACTTTGTACTGTGGGGGAAAAAACCTGGTGTATGAGCGCTTTGTCTTTAAATGGAGGTTTTCTAATGCCTGTTCCCATTTTTCAGAGTCATCATGATGTCAGTGATGTTGTTATGTGGTCAGTGATGTCAACATTACTCAAGTTACTTTGGGTTTTTCATGTTTTACAGGAACCTCAGGGAATCCGCAGTTATCAAAGTGGCGATGATAGCAGTGACAGTATTCCTTTGCAGCCAACTGTATTATTAAACAAACAGTAACAGCAACAACTACCACTACAAAATGGTTTATTTATTTGAAAGCAAACCATTGCTCTACTGTGGAGTTTCATCATTCTCAGCAAACTGACACAAGAACAGAAAATGAAATACTGCATATTCTCACTCATAGGTGGGTGATGAACAATGAGAACATATGGACACAGGGAGGGGAGCACTACACACTGGGGTCTATTGGGGGTAATATGGGAGGGACAGTGGTGGAGGGAGCTGGGGAGGGATAGCATGGGGGGAAATGCCAAATGTGGTTGAAGGGGAGGAAGGCAGCAAATCACACTGCCACGTGTGTACCTATGCAACTATCTTGTATGTTCTGCACATGTACCCCAAAACCTAAAATGCAATTAAAAAAATCCTTCATGGTAAGTTATTAACTAATCAATCTTCTATATATTCAGACATGATAACTCATTAAAATAGGGCCAGCAATGTTAAAAGCATATTCTTACATCTAAATGATTTTGGATACACTTTATAGCTGAGCTCTGATTCTTTTATCATCCGCTATTTGATTACAAAGGGAAAGAAGTGGATTATTTTATTAATTCTAAATCCTCATGTAAACAATCAGAAAATTGAGCAAATTGACTTGCAAACACATACACAGAAATCTACTAACGTTCCCCTGCTACAGCACATGGTTTAGATTGCCTTCTACACCTTTGTGAATTTAACAGTGAGGGAAAAGTTCTAATCTAGTAAAAAAGGAATGGGTTATAGGAATTTTCTATTCTAAATAAATTTTAATCACCAACTGACAAAATGTCATTTGCTTATAATGAGCCCTTGCATTTTTCTCTGAAAAACTGAATATACGATGTATAGAGAATAGGAAAGTCCCTGCCCATTACTGAGAAATTTTTCTAGTAACCAGAATATGTACCTCACAGGAAAAAAAATGTAGATTGTCTAAAATAGCCTAGTGATTCATTAGCATATTAATTTGCTTTGCTTTCCTAGTTCTAGAAGTGAGGGAGATGGAGAAGAAAGAAGAGAATAGGGGAGGAAATGAGAATGTAGTGGAGGGAGGAGAGGAAAGAAGAAAAGGGGAGAGAGGAAGAGAGAAAGGGAAGGCAAAAGGAGGGCGTTGGAGAAAGAAGAGAGAAGGCCAGAGTGAAAGAAGAGGGGGCAGCAGGAAAGGAAACAGAGGAGGAGGAAAGGAAGGTAAGCAGAGGAGGAAGAAGGGACAAGAGATAATTTTGTGTGTGCTATTTTTTATATTTTCCCCTACCCCTATAGGGAAGATACTGCTGTGTTCCTTGGCAGAAGTTGCTTAAGGCAAATCTCCTGACCTGGCATGTGAGAAAATTTTGTTATGTTATATTGGTCATCCCCAAGGGGAAGTTTGGAAAGAGTGTTTGAGTGTGCAGGGCTTCAGGGATAGGGTGAGGGGAAAGGAGAGTCAGGAGGGCAGAGAGAAGGAAGCAATTGGCCCCTCCCATATGGGAACTTCCCAATGCCCTGTGGAAAGAAGAGCCCCAATAATGACTCAGAGTTAATTTCCCTCCTAAGAAGTCAGGCGTGAACTCCAAATTTTTATTTAATTAAAAAAAACAAAAAACAAACAGTGTATTGTGAAATTTTCTATTTACCCTAGTTTGAGACTGCAGATTTTTACTATTTCTTCCCCCAACTTGTCCCTCAAGATGAAGTTTTTTCCTTTCATTTCTAGAGGCTACTCTCCATAATGGGACCATAATCAGCCACCAAGCAGTGGCCCAGTCTCTAATCTCATCACTCATTTTATGTACTGAGGACCCAGCCTTAGAGTGTCATGATCGGACGCCTAGTGCAGCCTTGGATTCTTTTTTTAAAAAATTTATTTATTTTACTTTAGGTGCATACTATATCTGGCATTTCTCTCCATGATATCCCTCCTCACCCAGCTTCAGATTCTTATAGAAAGAATTATTTGGTTAATGATCCAGCAAGTACACATTTTAGTCTACTAAACGCTAGGCAATGGCCAAACTGAAAAAAAGGCCCCGAAGAATAAGAATAAAGTTTGTGGTTCAAGATTACCTTCTGGGAGAATAAAATTTCCCCATATTTCCAATCATCAGTTTGTATAAAATAAATGAAATCTTAATTAAAAACAAATGAACCAATTCAATAGATATTTATTTAGCTCCATATATAGACAGAGCTATGAGGAGGATAAAATCAGTCTTTTCCTCTGAGAAACATCATGTTGTGAGGGGGATGACATACCTTGAAATGAATAGACAACTCAGAATTTTACAACAGCTTATTCTGGCAACACTCTTTTTCTTCCTGTTTCCAAAAAAGAAGGAATGGTAGCTTACACTGTTCTTTGTTTAACCTCCACTGCTGGCCATGTAGTGGGTCTCGCTTTCACCCGTCCCCACGTGACTTGCTCTCCCACAATCCCCTTATGTATTTAGCAGCCTGGGTTATGATGAAAGTTTTGCTCCCCATTACATCCCTGGCATTTCACTCTGTGCTTCATGCAAATAGTACATGTAATACTTTTCTTGAATGAATGAAGATGTCAACTGAAGAATGATAGGTTCGTAAATTTGGAAAGGAGAGCTTCATTTCACATAAAGGGTTACAGCCCGCAGAGTGGCATTCTGACCTCTGAGACGCGTAGTCTCTGGGAAACGGACATTATGAGGGAGGGGAAAAGGAAACGAATTTATGCTGAGCAGGGTAGCTGAATATACATCTTCAATAAGCTATAGGGGGACCATGAATATTCATGAAAGGAGAAAGTTGGGCATGCACAATTGAGTTTCATGCCTCTTCATGGGATTCTTGTGTATAAAATGACAGCCTTAATACAATCTGAGGGGGCTGTTTTCAGCCCAATGTGAAGCAGAAGACATGAAAACCTTTACTGCACATTCTCCATAGAATAGCCAGAAACACTCCAGGATCGGTGATGTCTTTTTGTTCCAAACCACAAAAGGGAGGGATAATGTCAGGTGATGGTTGAGGTCAGTGGTGGAGTCTTTTGAAATGACTGGTTTCTGTTTAGCCACAGGGCAGAAAGCCTAATCATAGTTAGTGATGGAGCAGGTATGTGTTCCACCTCCTATCCTGTCATGGTCAAAAACTTAGTTTTCAAGTTTATTCTGGGGTCCCCTTGGCCAAGAGGGTGTCTGTTCAGTTGGTTAGAGGATTAAGATTTTATTTTTATTCCTCAAATGTAACAAATTTTAAGAGAAATAAATTTATAAAACATAAGAAATAGAAGTATAGCTTAGACCCCCAAGCAAGTTATTTAAAGATGTCTAAGTTAAACATAGTTTTTAAGATAATATTTTGATGAAATTGTTCTTAATCATATTATTATGAGATTTTAGAAGAAGCAGATCAAGTGGAAACAAAACCTTGGTAGGTCCATATCTATCTCTGTCTCTAAATCTATAGTCAGTCTTTAAAAGAGTGACACAAAAATGACACAGACCCACTCTCTGGTTCACTCCCCATATATTAGAGACTGGTAATCTTCCACAGTTTTTACAGCATAAGGCATACACAGAATAGATCCAAAAAAAAAAGTATATCTTCTGAAATTCCCTGAATGGATTCAAATTTTTACTCTTCCAAGTTAATATATTGGTAGTCTCTAGGATTACTGTAAGGATACAATTGATGAAATACGTTTTCTTATCACTGGTCAATTACTTGTATTAAGTAGTTTCATGGACTTTATCTCCCCTCTTGGAAACTGGAGAGTAGCACTTTTTGTCTGGTTAATAAAGATTTAAGAAAAGATAATATGTCATTTTTGACTTCGTGTCATGGTACCTGTGGTTTTCTACATGCATGATTTCATCATCTCAATAATCTTGGGAAGAAGGTGTTGTTAATTCATTTTATAAACAGGAGACTGAACTGCCACAAGGATTAAGTGAATTTCTCAGGGTTATACAACAAACACTTAGAAATGATTAAATAACACTTTACTTGATTTGTTGTGGGTTACTAAACAAAGCATAGGTGTGTATAAGTCATTCAATTATTCAGGCACAGTCTCCACCCTTAGTTCTAATACCGAAAGTCTTTGCTCTTAGTTTTTAATAACTACAAGGATAGTCGTTGAAAGATCCAAGCTCCGGAATAAGCCTAAGGAAGTAATCTAAGTGGAACAATAGTTCACACTCTTAAAAGAATAATTTGCATTAATGGAGTTTGCCTGGCTAGTTTCCACTTCAAACTTCAAATCTTCTTCTTCCTTGTCTTGTTAACTGTCCAGATTTATTTCTTAGTTTTTTTAAAACTCATATATTAGGCAATGGGGTGTATTCTGGAATTGAGAGCCTATTTTAAGCATTTGACTAAGAAGTTTAGCCATCAGACTAAAAATCCTCAGTGCATTTGACCACGGGTACTGTCTCAAAAATCCAGAGCACAAAGTAAGGCAAAATTTAGAATTCAGTTCTAGGACAAACTCACCAATTCAGGTGCCAGAAATCTAAATAGTTAAAGGACAAGGAAGTGTATGTTTACCTGAGTCTAAAGAGCAAAGTTGCTTCTGGAAAGAAGCCCTCGCTGGAGGTGCTGGCATTTAAAATGTTGGGCAGGCGCACATGTTGCTTAAATTTCTGACAGTGGCTGGAGATTACAGATTGGTTAGTGGGAAGTAAAGTACGTAAATTGTAAATTCTCCACTGGGTGGAGTCTGAGCAGTTCTTTGAATCTCTCATCCTAAGATCTGGCCTGAACATTGGCAAGAAATTCTTGAGAGTTCCTTGAGAGGTTCCAGGAGCCGAGCACCCCACTGGAATCCTAGGTAAGTTCAAGGTGCTGATAAAAACTCTCTACCCTAATGTTTACTCTGTGTGTATTCCAAATGGAACTCTCTCAGCTGGAATCCTTGTCATAGTGTTTTAAAGGTTTTTTTCTGTTACTCTCTTCTTCTTTCTTTTTTTTCTCATATTCTTTTCATAAATAAAGATGGTATGACCTTCCTAAAGGCCCCACCTTTAAAAATGGGTTAAATGAAGAGATCTTTACCAATGTAATGGAAAAGAACTGATGTCCAGAGTGTACTGCAGTGCATCTACTGAATATGGATACATTTGACAAATCAAAGTTAGTCCTGTTCTTACTTGAGTTTAAACAGTAAGATTAGGTCAAACTCCAGATGCTGGAAAGATATCCTTAAACAGACTTTAAGTCTGCTGTTTCCTGGTAACTTTAATTGTCTTCTTATTCTGCTACATGTCATAATAAATATTTATTTAGAGAAGTGAAAATGTCTATTTCTTGCACAGAGTTTCTTCCCCTTTCATTTTATGAAACTGTCACTTCCCTAAGAAGAGATAGTTGATACACTTTTAAAAATATACTCGATTTTCTTTTTTCTGTTCTGCTTTTAATTTGAGGTGGTAAGGTGTTACTTAGCAGTAACATTGAAGCAAATGTATTGATTTTATTAATGTGTTCAGCAAGTAATTCATATCCTAAATATGAAATATACACTTGTAAAAGAGTAATGTTACCCATTTCTCAATGATATGCTTAAAGAATCTTGATCAGTAGGTATATTCTTTTTCCTTTTTCTTTATTAATGAAAAACTACACACTTTTCAACATATTTTTAAGTCTGGTTCTAAACTTTGAACCCCTATGTACAATTTGCTCATTTCAGGCATGGATGTGAAACTGTGTACAGATTAACTGTTTGGCACTCACAGTTATTTATTTAATTATTTAGCCCTAGATAGTGGATGACTAGGAGATTATGAATTCTGTGATTTCCTTAAAACCAATCAGTTTTGAATTATTATACAAGTTTTTTTTTTTTTTACTTTAAAGTTGTAGCTGTCTAAACAAAATTGTGAAAACACAATTTCCAAACTTAAATTGAGGGCACATTGGTGCTGTCTATCAGAAGGTATTGATAATTTCTTTTAAATTACAAACAATCTTTTATCTTTTTATAAAGGACCTAATGTCATTTGAGCTTAACCACAATCCTCTGAAGAAAGTAAAATTTAACTTTAAATAGCATTGACAAACAGAGCAGTTAGGTGACTTGCCTGAGACCATATGATATGTATGTCCCCCCTTCTGACAAAATTAACACTAAATATGTAAAATTTGAAAAATTTGTAAAATACATAAAAGGTGAAGTTTTTAATGGCATAACATTATGGCTTCTGAATAGTAATTGTCTTAGCTGAAGAGGTGAATGCAGAATTAAGCAGCAATTAGTATGAGTGAATAAATTGCATCCTTAAAGTGAGTGCACTATGCTACCCTGGGAATTATAAACTATATTTAAGTCGATGTGAAGTTGTGCACACTGGTGAAGTGGGGTAGGGTGCACTCATTTGGGAGATACTATGCCCATCAAATATCTCAAGGTACCCCAGGTGTGACAGGCCTGGAAGCAGAACTAGCCACTCTAACTTTTGCCTGGCTGAGGCTGGACTGGGAAGGATAGATTCAAAAGGGTAGATCAGTTCATATATACCTTGTGGTCCTTTGCAGACTGAGTGTAGGACTGAAAAAAGAAGCCAGAGAAAAAGGGAATGAGCTGAAGAAATACACACACACACACACACACACACACACCAGGAAGCAAAAATGCAAAAAAATAAATAAAGTGAGAGGTTCAAGGTTCCGAGCAGAAATTGTGCTGTGTGCATTCCACTCACAGGGGCTGCCAAAGACCAACATAATGGACTCAGCATCTCTGGCGCAGTTAAGTACCGTACAGTGCACTCTGCTGCCCTTTTAGTCCATTTGTGTTTCTATTCTGTCTGTGCCAGTGTTTCATCTCGAAATGGAGGAAAAGGATTCTGATGCCTCATAATTACTACAAGGATTAAATAAGATACAGATAGAAAGAGGCTAATGACTATCATTTTTATAATAAGGAAAGTTGAATTTTATTCAAAATATGTTGGTAACAAACTAATCTCTTTATTTAAGTAACCCCACTTAGAGGTGAAAGTCACCTCCAATGAACTCAAAGGGCTGACCTCCCAAAGAAAGTTGCAAATATAAGGCAAGCTCTCTTGACTTGAATTTCATTAGGAATGTTTGCCTGGTCTTTCACATATGGTCAGAATGAGAGAGGGTGTGCACCTAGTAATATGTCATTATGTCAAATAATTCATCAACCAATTTTTGTTTATTCTCTCAAACTGCCACTTTGGCAGCAGGGGTACTCTGCCTAAATGAGGTAGCTATAAAGATAAATTAGACATGATTCAGGCCCCCCGGTAGAGTTCAGTTCAATAAGGTAGAATAGCAACTCAGTCCAGCTACCATAAGTAACATGTTTGCAGTAAGACTAATTTGATAATAAGACAGAAAAGCATCTCAGGGAATTTTAGGAATAGCCACAAAAATTGATTCCCTGAAGCCTTGCACACAACATGTTGCATGAAGGATTCAGTGACTCTCAACATGGGCTTGTCCTGTCACCTTTTCGGGAGACATAGCTATTCAATCCCCTGCCATTGTGTAACTAAGTGACTCTCACTTGCTGCTGGAATCACTTCATGCTTTTCATGCTTTAACAATCAGTGGTTATGTTTTACTTTGAAAAATGAGTCATCCCATGACAGTATTCCTTCTAGACCCTAGCATTTCATAGCTTCTATCTACGATTATTTTAACTTCTTGCTCCTGTATCTAACTGAATGAATAAGCACATCTCACAGCTCAGATTCCTGAAAGAATTTGATTATATGCTCAGCTAAACATCATTACTGTTTGGTTAGAGCTTTTACAGCAAATAATTCACAGATCTTTGATGAGGCTACAATGTCTTTAGTGGGTAAGTGTCCAACAGAGGTCTAGTAAAGTATGACCTGGCAATTGATAATGCCAAGTGTTAGAGACACAGTCATCACTCTTTAAAATGCAATTTCCTTTATCAGAAAGCTATAGGTGGGACCCATTTAGAATCAAGTTTTAGGCACAACAAGTGTTTTTGATCTTTCCTATCCATACATGTGTTCAAATAAATATAGTACCTGGTAGAATTATCATAAGCAAAGTTCATATCTTAATTGTTATTGGTATTCAGAGGAAGACAGACTACTTTTACTCGAGACATTGTAACAGGCCTCATGAAAAATTATTTGAGCTAGGGCTTTGAAGGTTGGCTCGAGGAAAGGGAGCAAAACACTTTAGGCAAAGGAAATGGCATGAGAAAAATCGCAGAAATAGAAAATTTTATGTGGAGGACAAATAATACTTATGGTCAGATATTGAAAGAACCATTCATCAATGTTGAAATCATACACTTTTGTACAGAACCATGGGTTGAAGCAGTTAGGAATCATGACGGATAGCAACGTAAAAATCATGCAATGGTGAAGCTTGTTATCTTTGTCTAGGAGTATAAAGGATGGCTTATCAGTGGAGACCATTGCCAATTGAGAAAGAAAGAAGCCCAAAAAATACAACACTGAAAATTGAGAGTGCAAGAAGAATGTTTTACTGGCATTACGTAACACTCAGATATACATCCCTTTATTGCCAAACACTGTGTGTGTTAGTGAAGGTAAAAGAGGAAGAGATACAGAAGAACAGAGACTGAATTGAGTTCTAGAGCTTTAGTTCTGTTTTAGTTTTGCCCCCCAGAGGTTCTAGGCATTAAGAACAGTCTGAATTGAAAAATATTAAACATATCTTGTGATCCAATATTTCCCTATAACATAGACTCAGATATCCAATGACCACCTTGACATTTCTACCTGCATTTTCCATACTTGTTGCCCAGGATGGAGTGTAGGATGCACTTAGCTTACTGCAACCTCAAACTCCTGGTCTCCTGCCTCATCCTCCTCTGTAGCTAGGACCACAGGTGCATGCCAGCACATCTGTTTGTTTGTTTGTAGAGATGAGCTCTTGCTAAGTTGCCCAGTCTGGCCTCAAACTCCTGACTTCAAGCAATCTTCTGCCTCAGCCTCCCAGTGCTATGGTAACAGGTGTGAACCTACACACCCAGCACACTAAACTGAATTTCAATTTCCTTCCTCAAAATTTTTCTTCCCCACATATTTTTATTTCATATTTCACATATTTGCCCATATTCCAAAGCTAGAAGAAAGCTCCTTTGCTGTCCTTACTAGAAGTAATCTGTTAGCCTGTCCTATCCACTTTTTCTCCAAATCTCTCACAAATCCACACTCTTCTCTCTACCTTTGCCCTCATCACCAAATTTAATTCACCACCATTTCTCTCCTGAACTACTGCATTAGCCTTAATTGGTCTCCCTTTTCAACTCTTAAAACTCATTACAGAGCAGAGTGATTTTTATTTGGTAAAATTATATCACATTACCTTTCTACTCAAAACTCTCCAATGGTTTCCCATTAAACTTAGAAACAATTTAAATTTCGTTCTGGCTCCCAAATTTCTTAATGATTACCTTCTGCCTCTGCTTTTCACACATCACAGTTCATTATCCCTCCTTCTCTCTTCTTCCCTCCTAGTGCTTTTAGTTGAATAAGCCAAGCCCATTTTCACCCCAGGAGCTTTGTACTTGTTGCCATGTTCCTCCAGGTTCAGGTCTTCACATAATGTGAAAATGCTCATCTATCACTTTCTCAGAAAGATGAATATGACCCTCTAAGGTAGCACTTCCATGCTCCAGTGGAGTCTACCTTAAAGGTTCTACCTTAAAGAGCTATCTTAAAGGGTCATGTTCATCTTTCTGAGAAAGTCACACACCAGTGACTGTGTCCCATTACTCTGCTGTCCCATTACTCATAGCTCTTAAATCTGAAACTACATTGTTTTTCTATTCTTCCACTAAAAATCAAC